AATTGGATATATTGAAAAAAAAATCTTATTATAATAGGCTTCGACTTTGATGTTTCTAAATCTGATTTTCAACTTGTTACACTCAATGACATTTTCTTATTGACACCAACCAGGGATACCATAGCCATGGTACGGGAGGCAATAGAGATCCACAAATACACGGATAATTTCAACAAAAAAGAAGAAGCTGGGAACCTCAGCCGAATATGGAATCCCATTCTGAGGAGTTCAAGACTGGCAAACAGCGTGACGGCAGGTGGAAAAAGGTCGACGAAAGTTATTGACAATTTACCTAATCCAGGTACAGTAATTAGCACACCAAACTACCTGAATCAACATATGAATGTGTCTTACGCAGTCATGGGAGATAAACACAAGATGTATGAACCTCTGAAAAAGCTAGCCACTCGCGCTAGCGAAACGCTATAGAAAGAAAAGAAGAAAGAAATGCTTTATTGACTACGATATGCACAATATACATGAGTAGTACGTCAATTTACAACTATACTATAAGAGGAAATTCCAAAATTCGACGGCCTTCATAAATAAAATAAAAATAGTGGCACTGATATTAAAACGGTCCAATAAAAAAATTTCGACTCTGAAATTACTGATATTCGCAAGTGGAGAAAACATCCATTAGTTTTTGTCTCTATGATGGCATTTCTTCATCGTTAGATTCGACAAACTTCTCCAATTCTAGTTGATCTTCGGAACATTACCGTCTTCGTCTCCAATATTATTCCCAGTTTGCATTGGTTCTTCATCTACAATTGTATCTGAATCATTAACTTCCTCGTAGGTGTTTTCTTCCATATTGGAGAAATTTTCAGGACCATGACAATTTGAGCATAAATTTGTTCATTTTAAACCATGTTTTTGACAGGCACATTTTTCAACTACTACATCCAGTTTTACAGCTGCAGCAGTTTTGAGCGATAACATTGGAGATAATGCCACGTTGATGTTGCTTTCAGCTCCAATCTGTTGCTGTCAGTTCGTTATCTAACCAAGTTTGAAACTGATAATATGCTCTGTAACAATGTTGTTCTGCTATTCTTTCTGAGGGTGGAAGGTTTGCCAAAATTAAAGATGAATTAAATTTTGCCAATTGATATTTTTGAAATCTTAATTTATTCAGTGTAATTTTTTCATGTTTACATTCACAAATAGATTTGATTGATTGTAATCAATTGTTCATATCTCCTGTACTTGCATCTCTCTTAAACAAAACATTGGCCAAATTTTCCGTAAGTCACTCAGGTATATAAATTATTTCAAAACAGTAATAAATAGGCATCTACAAATATTATTTAAAGAAGAT